TAACAGTAGGTTTTAACCTACTGTAGTGCATCCACATACAAATTCCATTTAAATAATTATTGGTTTGTGTGTAGGCTTTTTCTTCTCCCTATTGTGCAGAATAAGGCATGATGGCTCAGCGGTTAAAGACACAGAGTTTGTCAGCTGAAGAACTGACAGCCCAGGTTCGAGACCTGAGCTCCGCGCAACTGGGTGAGCTCCCGTTACTTGCCCAGCTCCTACCCACCTAGCATTTCGAAAGCATGCAAATGTAAGTAGATTAATGGAAACCACTTTGGTGGGAAGGTAACAGCGTTTCATATGTCTTTCGCATACAGCCATGCCATATGACCACAGAAGCATCTTCAGACATGTGGCTCCCTCGGCTAGGAAACAGAGATGAGCACTGTGCCCTAGAGTTAGACAAAACTGATAGGGAAACCTTTTATTCTGTAGAACCCTCTACTATCTGCTTACTTTGGCCAACAGAATCATATTAATTTCACCAATGTTAAAAAAAAAACACATGCAATGCTCTCTTTTCCCTGCTGCCTTTACTGTTACTCCTTTAAGGTAGCAGGAGAAAGTAGTAGTACCCACCGTACTCAGTGCCCATAATAATCATTGAAACAAAATATTGACAAAATTCTTTCCAACAACACTGTATAAGAGGAGGATAACCATATAGCTGCATTACCTGAGAAGTGGAAGCGTGACATTTCAAACAGAAAAGATGTAATTTGTGATCATGCATTTTTACTAAAGTAAGATATTTCTCAGTGATAATTGAAGCTAGTCTTGATACCTCCTTGATCAAAGGCCTTAAATACTATTGGAAAACAATGGAAGAGGAATTCATCATAGTTAAGTCATTGTAGGACATAAATGGTTGGATAAAATAGGCTTTTGGCTTGATTCAGAAGGATTTATCTTATATTCTTTATTTCCAGAACAAAGCAGCAAGTATCTTAGAATATGTCCATGAGGCCATCCATTTGTTCCAAAGATTTTTCTACTCCAATAGTACTTAAAAACCTGCTGAGGTTTTTTTTGCGGATATTAATTCTCAGAGAAAATACTATAATTTATGCTCTTCCATGATCAACAAGAAACTTCAGCCTTGAATAACCAAACAATTATCGGACAGAGACAAGACATTACATTTTAGTCTAAACATTAGGCGAAAAACCTCTCCACAATTCCAGAATGTCTGGTCAAAGGTAAATGCTTATCATGGTTTTTACATATGTTATGGGAGCAAATATAAGTTATGTTATTCTAAAACTAAGTGCATTGCTAGTTTTGAAACAGAAATTTTTATTTGATAGATTTCTATTTACCTAAGTAGGGAAATATGGATTTTTTTCCCCCATTTTTAAAAAGAAAAAAAGTTATTAGGTATATAAGAAACTCAGAACATACTCTGTCATACCTTGATTACTAAAGTTCATGTTCCTACCATTCTAAGATCAATTTTACATGGTTTCGCATTAACTATAGTTGAAGGTGTAAATGAACAAACATGTCTCATACAACAGCAAATCAAGGCTGGCTTTGGCTTTCCAGCCTCTCACACCTTTTGTTCAGTATCCCAACTGAACAATTCCTGGATTTTTAGAATTATTTTTTTTAAGTGTTTTTTTTTTAAAAATGACCAGTTAGAGTCAGGTATCTTGAAGAAATGTCCAGGTAGAGAGTATGACTGTTATGAAATGCCACTACTCTCAGACAAGGACTTGAAAATAATCTCTCAAATTGCTCAGATCTATTTTACCATTTGTATGATATAGTCCTTGATTTATAACCATTTAGTGACCATTTGAAGTAACAACACTGAAAAAAAGTGACTTATGACTGTTTTTCATGCTTACAACCATTGTTAGCATCCCCATGGTTACATGATCAAAATCTGGATGTTTGGCAACTGGCATGTATTTTTGACAGTTGCAGTGTCCCAGGGTCAAGCGATCACCTTTTGCGACCTTCTGACAAGCAATAGAAACAGGGAATCCAGATTCACTTAACAACAGCAGAGATTCACTTAACAGCTGTGGCAAGAAAGATCATAAAATAGGGCAAAGTTCACTTGACAACTGTCTTGCTTAGCAAGAGAAATTTTGGGCTCAATTGTGGTTGTAAATTGAGGACTATCTGTATGCCATATCATTACTTGGGATTGGAACTTACTATAATAGCATTTTATTTGGATTTATTTTAGTAACTATGTTCTTAATTATTTTAGACTCCATTATACTTACTGTTTGTCTTTTATAGCACATATACATATATCTAGAAGGATGCAGTACCTCTTTTATTCAATATTTTGTTTGTATCTGGACTTACAGCTGTAATAAAATGGAATTGAACTGAATTATTATTTTCAAAAAGCATTTTTTAGAAAAATGGCTGGGAGAATCAGATCCATGCAATATAAAATAGAGAACAATCTTTTCCCCACTGCCTGTGTCTTTTCAGTACAAAATTCCAGAAAGGAGCAGACATGATGATGATGATATATTACCACCTCTTCCCTGCCACTTCTGATCCTTAGCTTTTACTCCTAAAAAATAGCTGCTGCCTAAAGATACATTAACCATCAGTCCAGGCTATTGGAACCAACATCTGGACCATGAGCTGGGCAAAATAACCACTAAACAATCTACACCTATAAATTGTGATTAAAGCACAGCAGTTAGACATACTGTTTCCTTAAAAAACAGTAAGTAATAACATCCTAGAAGAAAACATTAACATTGGAATACCACTTCTGAGGCTTTTCTTAAAAGATTATTTCAAGTGCAGACATACTATGACTCACTAGTCAAATGTAGGTGAAGTGAATTACTGACTCTTTATTTTACAACAAAACTTCTTATGTGTTACTCTGGGAATACAAAAGTGAGCAACTGTAAATATTTCTTTAAAAAAAAACACTGTATTTTCTCTTCTTTATTATGGTCACTGAAATGATATGGAATGATACGGGAGAAAAGAAATATACTGATGATAAAATAGCTATATTTCCCAACCAACAAAGTTAGATGAGTTTCTGTTATTTTGGGGTGCTGAATAAGAATTATATATTAGGAAGAATATCATAGCAACACAATTAAAGGCAATATAAGCAAAATAACTTTACGGCAGTGGTCTCCAACCTTTCCGGGTTGGCGGCCCGATGGTGGCCAGTGGGGGGAAGAGAGGATGGTTGCGCACGCATGCCGCTTTCATAAATGCCACTTTGTGTGCATGCACATGCTCACCTACCACTTTCACTGTCTGGTTCCAAACAGGCTGCAGCCCAACACTGGGGCCTGGACCGAAGGTTGGGGAACCCTGATTTATGGTACACAATCAGATTCGTCCATAGATTTACAATGGTCTTCCGGGTACGATTCAAGGTGTTGGTCACCACCTTTAAAGCGCTCCATGGCATAGGACCCGGGTACCTTCGAGACCGACTTCTGCCACCAATAACCTCCCACCGCCCAGTTCGCTCCCACAGAGAGGGTCTCCTCAGGGTGCCATCGGCCAAGTTATGTCGGCTGGCAACACCCAGGAGGAGGGCCTTCTCTGTGGGAGCCCCAGCCCTGTGGAATGAACTGTCCCCGGAAATACGTAAGATCTCCGACCTCTGGGTATTTCGCTGTGCACTGAAGACCCTGTTGTTCCGCCAGGCCGGGCTATTAACATAATAATTTTAAATTGGGGTATTTTAAATTTCTGGGGTTTTAAATGGAGCCGAATTTATTTAATAATTTTAAATTTTTAATTGATGTTTGTCTTGTGTTTTTAAATAGGCTCTACACTGCCCTGAGTCCTTCGGGAGAAGGGCGGTATAGAAATAAAATTATACTTAAAATTATACTTATAAGACATGGCAAAAGTATGTAACTACAATTCTTAAAAATGTCCAGTAGTGAAACACTGGCTGAAAAATTTTACAGGATGTGCAAACCTATAAATAAAAATGAGCACATAACACATGAACACATACAATAATTTTTATATCAGGAAGGAGCTGAAAAAACATAGATGCTAAAAATGATATAAAATATGTTTATTTTTCACCAAATTCATAAAAGTAATAACCCAATTGACCCTGATTGGTTAAGTAACATACACTCGTACACTAGTAATATTTCCGGGTAAAATATTTGCCATGGACTGATGTGTTTGTGATTCTACCACAATCACTTGAATTAAGGAATACTATATGTAATCTTAAAAGTAGATTCATCACTCCCATGACTGACGAAAACAATGTTTTCAGCAAAATAGCTCTATTTAGCTTCCATTTTAACATTTCTAAAACTAGAAAAATATGAACTTTAAAAATTATTGTACATTAGAAATACTTATCTTTCACATTATATATTAATTACTAAATCTCAAACAGGGATTTGGTAGGTAAGTTTTACTCAAGCTGAGTAATGACCATCATATGCCTGTTTCTAATTGGAAATCTTCCCCAGGCATATTAGATACTCCTTTCTTTAAAGAGAGGATTCCTAGAAACACTTAAATAGAAGTAGTCCTTGCTAAATATACTGGGGTTTATTTCTTACCAGTGAGGATCTCAGATATGACTTCATTTTGGCCTAGTATCCTGTTTTAACCTAGATACTATGTTTTTTCAGCTGTGATGTATTACTTAGGATGATGTATGAATCTAACCATATGAGCAATAAGTGAATATAAAACTGTAGCTTTAGTTTACTCACAAATCCCATGAAATTACTAACCAAAGGGTAACAACTTAAAAAATATTATTCTTTATAAACTGTTCTTTGTAATAAACAGAACACATTGTCTCTGTGGGAATTCACAAGTTAAAAGAAGCTGGGCGTTTAGTACTTTTTATTTCTTTCAAAGTAAACATATTTGAGCCATAAAATCTTTGGGCCTTATTTTCTTTTTTTCTGAGATGTATTCAGAACTTATTGTTATCACAAAGCAAATAAGAGATCTTCCTGGTAAGTTTATTGAGTAACTGCAGTTGGATTACTCTCAACTGAACCTACCTCACATTCTTACTGCAATGGCAGAGGTTGGTGAGTGAGAAGGAAGAGCCTGAGGTCCTAAAGCAGGATATAAATCTCTAAATAAATAAATAGCAAAAGTGGCATCTCTTAAAGTGGTCTTGTATTTTCTTATGCTGAAGAAAAGAAGAGGTAATAAAATATTTAGCACCTGCAATGTACTTCTGTGTATGTTCAAAAACCTCATGAATGAATGAATGAATGAATTATATTCTTCAAAATCCTTATACCAATCATCTGAATTAGATCAATATTAATATATGCAGCCACAATCTGATGCCATCTTCCAGATAATTTTGAGTTCCACAACTATATGACAGTAATTATGTTTCACTGTATATGAATTTGTTGCATTATTACATGTTTTCTCCATAAATTTAACAAATTTGCATCTAGAAAAAATGTCAAGTAAGATCGTTTATACAACCAGATTTGCAAATGTTAAGGGCTTTAGATTTATAAAATGTATTAGCAATAGTACAATCATTATCAAATGTTAAGATTATGGAAGATATTTGGGTTGGTAACCCGCTATAAATATCAAAGAAAAAAGCTGTATTGCGCTAAATGACCTGAAAATAGACCATTTACCACAAAAACATAAACTCACTACTAGTCTCCTCAGTTTTAAATCTGGAACTTTTGCAAGCTTTTTTAAGCCTACATCTTCTTAAAATTCTATACCTATTATGAGCAAATTTAAAATAACCAAAGTTTTAAGCCTTTTCTTTCTTCTAATACAAGATACTTATTTTAAGAATTACACGCGCGCGCACACACACAATACTCCCCATAGATTTCTTATAATTTTAAGTTGAATAATGTAACATATACTTTTTGCTGTCTTTACATTTCCTTTTAATTAAAAAAGCTATTGTTTCCAAAACAATAATTACACTATACTAAACACATTTACTCAAAATATTGTTATGTATTTTTAGTTAAGTGTGAATGGCAGCCTCAATAAAACTGTATTTTTTATTTTATTTATGCTGTAAAAAAATCTGGAAAAATCTTCTGATTTAAATCATAATTGAACAAGTTGAAAAGATAATGCTAAAATTCTTAGTTTCTGTAGTGCAGGTTTCAATCAATCCATGAATCTCATGACTTAGGTTAAGATCCATGAAAGCTTACACAATAATATATATGTTGGTCTTTAAGTACCATTGTGTATTTACTGTGAGAAGTTGAATGATATCAACCAAATCACTGAAGATGTTGAGTTTCAAATATTAAGGCCATTTCTTCTTATTTGATTGCAATATGGATGCCTATTTTTTCAAGCTTTGGTTCTACAAGTTGTAATATCATCTTAATGAAACTTAATTACTACTTCTAAATTGCTTTGCACAAAACGTTAAGCGTGTACACAAAAAAAATAAAAAATCCCTCTACATATTGTGAAACTATACGCTTTTAAAACCATGTCCAAAAGACAAATTCCAAAAAAACCTGATTTTTAAGACATTTTCTTTGCAGTTGCATTTTGGTCAACATATTTAATATTGATATAAAAGCACATACCTGCATAAATACTGATATTTCAATCAAAATACTGATATAAAAGTATATTAAAAGTTATGGTTTTGATATTTATTATATACACTAAATATAAAAACAGTAACTTTAATGGACGGATACATTCTTTTCTTATTCCCTCTGCAATTAACCACAGTATAGTGCTCTGTTTTTGCAACTGCTTTTAAACATTAACTTTTCCAGATTATCTTGCTTAGGACCCTAAAAAGAAATTCTAAAGCTGTGGTCACCAATCTGAGCAGTTCCTTCCCAACTCAAGCGATGTCTCCAAAATGTTCGATTTCCCCCCCCCAAAAAATAATAATAATAATAATAATAATAAAATTCTCTACTCATAATTTAATTCCAACTTCAGGAACCCAGAAGTTGTTGCTTCACAGAATGGGGGGATGATAAATACCTACGTGACCGCTTCTTGGTGGCGAGAGGGGAGGGGATCTTTCCATTTATAAACGTTAAAAGAGTTGTTTGTTGCTAAACCTCACAAAAGCCCAGAGACGATTCTCGAGGAATTCGCTTTTCCTACCGCCCGCCCTGTAAAAAGCTTCCTCCTTCGCCCGCCTCGCAAGAGGCAAGTCTGAGACTTGGCTTCAAAAATAAAAGAGAGGGAGGGAGGACGGGTGGGAAAAAAAGGGGGGGGAATCAAAAATACACACTCACACTCACACACACACCGAGGCCAGCCTTCCAAGGGTGGGTTTTTGCGCCTCTTGCCTCCAAAGCCTTGAAGGAATCGCTCGCCTGCTTTAGTAGTGAAGGAGCCGAATATCCGCCTTCCATCGCAACCGACCGACCCCGCTCTTCATACACATACACACACACAATACACAAATACACACACCCCGAGGCAGTTTCGTGCCCAGGACCACGGCGGCGCCTCCTCGTAAACAGCCCAGCCGCCACCCGCCGCCTTCTCCCCGGGCTGCGACTTCTGCAAGGCCCCTCCGCAGGCACAGGGCCCTCTCCGGCCAGCCCCGGTCGCGCTCCGCCGGGGACGGAGAAACCTTCCCCCTTAATCCCGAGGGACCCCACCCTCCCACCCCCGACGCTTCCCAGCCGGCTTCGGAAGGCTTCTCACCCGGGTCCCAGCCTCGGCGGAGATTTCCCCTTCGTCCCCTTCGTTTTTCCCAGCCAGCGAATAGGGAAGTCCTGACTTACCTGTCATTACTTTCTACGCCATCTTGGATCCACTTGTCAACGTCCTCCCAAAGCATTGTGGGTAAAAAAGTGTCTTCTTTTCCTCCCCTTCTTTTCCCCCCCCCTCCGCCTCCCCCCTCCCCCCCGCGCGCGCGCTTCGCCGCCCCTTTCCTCGTCCCACCCACTCCCCCCTCCTCCTCCCTCCTCCTCTCCCCTCGCGCGCCCGGATCGGACGGAGCGAAGGGAAAACTTAAAAGAGGGAGGAAAGTGGCGGCCGGGTGGATCTCTGTGGCGAAAGAGCGAAAGGCGGCGGGTGTTCGGGTGGTTTGCGCCCCCAGCAGTGGGAATTTAGAAGAGAGGGTGGAAGGCAAGATGGTTGGTAGGCTCAAATGATCAAAAGGGCCTGGAGATTAAACCATATGAAGAACGGTTTCTGGAATTGGGTATGGCCAGTCTAGAGAAAAGAAGGACTATGGAGGGGACACACATGATAGCAGTATTCCAATATTTGAGGGGCTGCCACAAAGAAGAGGGGGTCAAGTTATTCTCCAAAGCACCAGAGGGCAGGACAAGAAATAATGGTTGGAAACTAATTAAGGAGAGAAGCAACCTGGAATTAAGGAGAAACTTCCTAACGATGAGGACAATGAACCAGTGGAATAGCTTGCCTTCAGAAGTTGTGGGTGCTCCATGATTGGAGGTTTTAAGAAGAGATTAGACCAGAGGTCTCCAACCTTGGCAACCTTAAACCTGCAGGACTTCAAGTCCCAGAATTTCCCAGCCAGCAAAGCTGCTGGGGAATTCTGGGAGTTGAAGTCCGACAAGCTTAAAAGTTGTCAACGTTGGAGACCCGTGGACTAGACAGTCACTTCTCTGAAATGGTATAAGTCCTTAATGGTAAACCTATGGCACGCGTGCCACAGACGGCACACGGAGCCATATCAGTGGGCATGTGAGCTCAGCTCCCTCCGGGGGGGGGGAGGCCATTTTTGCCCTCCCCAGGCTCCTAGAAAGGCTCTGGAGCCTGGGGAGAATGAAAAACGGGCCTTCTGGTCCCACTGGAAATCGGCAAACGGGCCATTTTTGCCCTCCCCAGGCTCTTAGAAAGCCTCTGGAGGCTGGGGAGGGCGAAAAACGGGCCTACCGGGCCTTCCGGGCCATCACGTGCCAAAAGCAGGGGGGGTCACGCATGCATGTGCGGGAGGACGGCACATAGAATTATGGGTGGGCATATGAGGGTGGAAGGCAAGATGGTAGACTTGGAAATTGGCGCTTTCTACGCCGGTTTTTAAAACCACTATTTTGGCATTAACTATCTTTGGGCGGAAAAGATTAATGGGTTCCGATCGACTCCTGAGCAGCCTAGTGAGCAAAAAGTGGTTTGTGGAGCCACTCAAAATCAATCTTGACCTCCCTTGCCTAATAGGGACAAATAGGTGCGCATTCATAAAACTATTAATGCATAAAATTATTTTTCCAAAATGTAATCAATTCTGAGAAATTTGGGCTGACTAGAAATTGCAACCATCTTGCAATGGATTCATATAAATTGGAAATAGCAGTTAAGTCGTCCTGCCATCCAGAGCCTGACTTAGATGTGGTGTGTTTTGTTTTTTCTTATAAATTTTTATTGCACTGTGCTGCATCTAGGAGTTAAAAGTAGTTCTAGTTGATGGTACTAAAACGAATTTTCACTGAGTGGTATATCAAATAATACAGCTAAGTAGCAAATACCTGCCGCTCTGAAAGATTAACCTCCAGCTATTTTTCTCCAGCTTTCCAATTCTTAAAGACAAACAGCATGTCAGACTTATCACTTAATCTCTAAGATGTCATGCAGTTTCCTGCAAATGAAAGAGTTGGTGCATGATACTTTTGCACAAATGAATAGCTTATTTTTTACATTTATGGTGTTGCAGATCTAAAACCAAGAGCAGTATCTGCGGTCATTTCTTTTTATTTTTTCTCATGATAAGCACTTTCCGAGGTTTCTAAATACGTTTACATTTCTTCTCATTTTCACAGAATTCTAAAACTGGTAGCGCCGTTGTTACTAAGAAGCCCTCAGTACCTGGAACAAATACAGGTAGTCCTCAACTTACAACTACAATTCAGCGCACAATTTCTGTTGCTAAGCAAAATAGTAGTTAAGTGAGTGTTGCCCCATTTTACGAACTTTCTTGCCACAGAGTGATTCTGCAAATTGAATCACTGCAGTTGTTAATAACACGGGTTGTAAAGTGAATCTGGCTTCCTTGTTGACTTTGCTTGTCAGAAGGCTGCAAAGGGTGATCACGTGACCCCAGGACACTGCAATCGTCGTAAATACGAGCCACTTGCCAAGCATTCAAATTTTGATCATGTGACCATGGGGATGCTGCAATGGTCATAAGTATGAAAAATGATCATATCAGTTTTTTCATTGTAGGCATT